TAAAGTTTCAAACAATTTTGATTCATAATAATGCATGTAGATACCAGCCAGGATGGGACTGAGGGGGTTTCCCATGGCTAATCCCTCAGATTGCTTGTAATATTTGGAAAACAAAATGTGTTTGTTTCAAACAGAATTGAGTGAGAGAAATTAGCTCATCAATTTCGATGCAAGAGAAATGAAATTCGCGATGGTTTCTAGACATCTTAATGCACCCTCCACTGGGACATTGGTGAATAATGACTTTGCATCAAAAGAAACCATGAGTAAATTACTAGGAGAAACGTTTTTAACTTTTTTTTACAAACTCTATTGAATTTTTTATGGTGTAAATGTTATTGTCTAATAGAGTTGAAAATCTAGGATCTAAATATTTAGCTAATGGATACGAGGCAGTACCTAAATTTGATACGATAGGGCGGAAAGGAATACCACTTTTATGAATTTTGGGAAGAGCATATAATCTGGCACAATTCGCAACAGATGGGATAAGCAAATGTTTTAAGTTGCTTGAAATGATTTGCGAAGATTTGATCGCAGTTTTTATTTTTGACAAGTCCGAAGGTGAAGGATCTTTAGGGATCGGATTATATGGTCCTTTGTTTAAGAGTTTATTGACACCATCGATGTAAGTGTTCTTATCCATGACGACTATCTGGCCACCTATGTCGGCCTTTGAAATGATAATATCCGGGTTAGAATGAATTTCGCGCATTGTAGCTCTTTCTCTCGCAGTTAGGTTTGGTTTAAAAGGTTTATTATTGAATTTCACATTATGAGCGATAAGATGCCTAATCATTTCTTTTTGTGAATCTGAAACTTTACTGAACTTGAAAGCTTTTTCGATAGGAGTCAAAATCTTTGGAATCGAGGGTTTACAGGTTGTGAGAAGTTAAAATTATATTTTAGAATTCTCTCTTGTTCTTCTGAAAGACTAACATTAGAAATATTAACTATTGGTTTGATGTTTATAATGGGAAGATTTTTTGAACTACTTGAACTGGAAGACTGTAAAAGAAGTTTTTCGAATTTAACTGCAAGGGTGTTTTTATGACGGTTAACTGCATTCTCCGTTCTAGACCAAGACTTTTGTTCCAGGCCAGTGAATTTTGGATGTGATTTAGCGAGTTCCAAATGAAGCTTATAGAGTTCATGTTCAATTTTGGACAATTGTTGACGTGTATCCCTTATGACGGACCGAAGTAAGGCAAGCTTGCAATTTAACAGAATTCTTGAAACGCGACTCGAAAGTTTATGATTAGATTTTGATTTGAATAAAATTGGGGATCAATTTTTTACATTTACATTTAAGTAAAAAGTCAAGATGATTCAGGAATTTTTGCCGTTTCAGGCGTAATTTAGTGAAACGGTTAACGGATGAAGGCATGATAAACAATGCAGAAAATCAAACTAAATTAACTAAGCAATAATAAAGCACACACAAAACAGCAGAAACATCCCTCACTGAAATGATTTAATTTACATTTATTTACATTTAATTTACATTGGCCAAACTAAGAGAGCCTTAAAATTTCGCGTCAAGGAACGTGAGGCATATGTTAGAAAATAGGAAACACAGAAGTCTTCTGTTGCTCAACATTGTTGGTCCGAAAATCACGCTTTCAATTTTTCTGCTGCCAAAATTATTCAAAAAACTTCCATTGGAGAACTGGATTTTCTAGAGGCATTTCACATTCATAAAAATCTTTCTGTTCTAGTTAACGATCCTAATTCCAATCCAAATTTGCCTTCGGCCTTTAAAGAAATTATGTTTTAGTTCTGGTTTCACCAACAGATGGCGCCACTTGCTTATTCTTGTCCAGGCTTTCTTATTTGATCTAATCATTATTTCCTATCTTGTTCATTTGCGGTTTTGCAGCTGAAGATGGTGGTTCGGTAAAACCATCGAAACTAGTCCTGCGAAATTTTTGTAAATATAACGCTGAATTTTGTTGTTTGACTTCTGAATTAGTATTTATTCGGCGTGTTATTGTATCTTTCCTATACTTATATTTAGGACAGTTTTGTTATATATATATATATACACACCTTGTTATAAAAAATAAAATGCGAAAGGACTCCCATATGACAGAATTGACAGAGATATTCAGCATGAAAATCGTGTATCATATTCAGTGTCGTACATAAATGAAGAACGAAATGTTTGTATTTGTAACGTAACTAAAAATATCAAAGGTTTTTTTATGCTAAGAAAAGGTTTCTTATGTTAAGAGATAAAGTAAGGAACATTACTGTGCAGATTAATGGGAAAAATACTGATGAATATAAATTTTGATTTACGTGTTTTCTAACTTATATTTATAAATAAATATATGTAAGTTAAAAATACGTACATCAAAATTATAAATTAACAATAGCCCTTAATTTCCCCCTCTCTATTTTAAAAATCGGAAAATCAGAATAACTCTGCGGACTGCGTCATTTCTAGATCAATCCATTTTGCATGGCTAGCGTAACGCTAATACCGTAGCTAATTCGCAACCTGAACTCAAATTTTCGAGAACTGAAACCTTTCTGACCTTATAAACCAAAACCTCCTCTTGATGAACCTCCATTCTGAATAACTGCGCATCTTAGCTTCTGCCTTTCTTCTTATAAAGACGCTATTTCTCTGTGCTTTGTTCCTGCCACAATAGTATCTAAAATGTAAATATTCTGGTAATAGGCACGATTAGAGTGCCAAGTGAATTGTGGCCAGAAATGAAGTAGAAATGAATATTTAATCCTACTTGGTTGTCAAGTTTCCTATTCATAACGGATACAACATTTTGGCATTCTTCCTTTTCAGAATTCTTCCTTTTCAATATGAAACTACGTTCTGTGCTATCAGTATTTCTGTGTTTTTATGTATCAGTGTTCTTACATCAGTTACTTCTAAATTTCGTTTTAGTACACGCACGCACACACACACACACACATATATATATATGACCTGGCGCGAGGTCTGGGGAGTATGGTGGATGGGTAGTATCTCCCAGCCTAGTCGTTGGATGGTGTCCCTTGCCTCCAGAGCCACATGCGGCCTCGCATTGTCAAGGAGGAGGAATACACCCTTACAATTGACCAATGCTGGCTCTTTATGCATCAGTGTCTGATGAACTGCTGCGAGTACAGGCCTGCTGTGATGAATTGGCCCATTGGCAGGAGCTTATAGTGCATCCCTTGACGACTAAGTCTACTAGATACAGAGCATGATTTTGCGTGGGTGGAGAGAAGGTCTAACAGTGTGAGGCACGGGGTCTGTTGTGACATCCAATGTCTGGAACGCCTGGGTGTGTCACTCTGGACTCACCTTTCATCGCTGGTAAGTACTCTATCAAATATGGATGCATTGCGGCGTCGAGTAAGCAATGACAAACAGGCAGCGTCACGCTGTTGCTTGTTTGCATCGGACAGTGAGTTGGGGTACCCATTTGCTCAGCTTGTATGCCTTTCCTATCCGATGCAAATGGAATCTGATCGTTTCATCAGATACCTGGAAGTATGCAGCAAGCTCACCACATGTTTGGCTACTGTCGCTCTCTGTGGCTGCTCTCAGGGTCTCATCGTCCAGCGCTTGTGGCCTACCTCTACGTGGTGCATCACTAAGAGACATATCCCCTGACCTGAACTTCTGGAACCATTGCCTAGCGTTTCGTTCATTAACGACATCATTCCCAAAGGCCTTGGCATATTCGGCGATTTGAATCTGCTGCTGACAGGCCTACTTTAAAATCATACAGGAAACAACTTCGAACGAGCACCTTTGACGCGTCCATTTCAATCAGTCGCCGTGTGAGTTATGTTTGAAGTTTGTAGTTCCACTTATGCTGCGAGTAACATGCGTTTCGCGTGTTTTTTCCGGCTGTCATGATTTAGTTGTCATAGGCGCTGCAGTTGAAATGAATACTGGAGCTGTGACCCGGAGTACAACATTGGTGTGAGCAGTTGTCACGTGATCCAAAGAATTCATCTGGTTGGTTGAGAGATATTAAGTTCGTCATACTGAAAATCAATGATGATCTACAAAATACAAGATAAAAAATACAAAATAATGATGAGATAAGATTCAAAAACATACATTAGAAGAACTACAGGAGTGTAAGTTCAGAAATGTGCATATGAAGCGAATCAGAAAATAAATCCCTGATCACGTGTGTGGTCACCCAAGTGCATGCAGGCTCTGGCAGTTGCTGCATGATTTGGTTCTTCGCTGCTAAGTGCACATAAGCATATTTACAGATATCCATAATATTACGTGGGAAAGTCTTGACATGTTTGAAGTACCGATGCAACGCTCTTTTATATTATTGATCAATGCTTGGACTCCCATCCTAACCACTTCATTGCCAGGTTTGGCGACTATTTTTATGTTGGAATTCACTCTTCCAACGTCATATCAGAAACGGCATAAATTTTTTTGGTTACCTTGTATTAACTAATCTTTTAATATGCAAACGAAAATAGTGTCAGAAATTGCAATTTTGAAATTAAAATTTTTTGGGCAATTTTCGTCAAACAGAAGTAAAACTTTTTGTGTTTTATTTTTTGTAACGAGTGCAATTTAAATATTTTGGTAATTGTATTTGTGTATGACAAACAGTTACAAAAATTTAGGCCAGGTCTTTTATGGACACGATATGTAAATGCAAACCTTTACTATTAAAACTTTTCTATAAGATTGCCTTTAAGCTACGTTAATAAAGTATAAATGAAACATAAATAAGTTTCGTATAAAATCTTAAATCTCATCCTTTGTGTATCTCAAAAATTTTGCCAAGGTCTTATGCTCGAAATTTGTCTAACTTCGCACCATTTTATATATAGAATAACCAATCTCTTACTAGCTTTGTTCGTTTTTATGCGCATGGCTGAACAATGTTGCCAAATTGAAAATTCGAAATATTTTTCATCAAATGCATTTATTTATTCTTTTCTTTAATATTTCCCGTAATACTTCGTAATATGTGACAACAGTATGTGTGTGTATTTTTATTTAGTTTAGAAAATGGCAGACAAGCAGTTTGCGGGAAAAGAGCACGCGAAAATATACAGCGTTTACAGGAAGGATACTCCCGTGGCACTTGCTGAAAAATTTATATTTTATTTGAAGGAAAAGGTATGTTATTATGAAAAACAAATTTCCATATTTACTTTTTGCGTTGATAAACATCATTCAGCAATTATGCAAATATCTATACAGACATCTACGAATTATTTGAAAAAAGTATTTTACGATATTAAATTAATTTTATATCATAAAAATTATTTTTAGTGAGTAGATGCGTATCCTTTTTTATACGATGATACACTATGCCTTATTTTTTTCCGTAAAATATTCTAGCTTTCAACTCTATCCAAATTCACTCATTTCTATTTTTAAATATGTATGTTTGTTGCTCCCATTATGTAAAAAAGGCGGCACTTTGAGCCAGAAAATTTGAACGCACAGAGTAATCCACCGGAACATCGGCACCTCGAAGCCCCAATTTTGAATTTTTTTATGTTTTATGTGAACTTAATGAAATTTTGATTAATAAACACAGCAATTTAAATGTAATGTAGTGTAACATATTTATATTTTAAAGTTAATCAGAAAACTCGATCATTTAAAAAAAAAAAGTATTTTGCAGTCTGCAAAGCGTAAGGTATTTTTCTTTCCAATTTAATCGGCAAATTTCGCTATTTAAAAGAAATGTAATAAATATTTACGGCCGATATAAAATATTTTTGTGTTTCATGCGCCAGTGTCTTGTACTTCGACAAAGCCAAGATATTTAATTTTTGTTTAAAATTTCATCTGCCTGTTAATCTGTATTAATAAAATAAGGGATTTAAATAAAAAAATTTTCATAAGGAAAAAATACTAAAAATATAGGAATGGAGTTTATTATCTTGGTTGTCTTTTAACATACAATGAACAATATTGTTTTCCTCAAACAGTATTTGCACAGTATGAAAAATTAGTCTTGTTAAAACAATTTTTTTCTACCCTTTAAATCGGCAAATCTTTTCGTAGCATTTTATACATTTATTCTCTCTCTATCGACAAAATTTCTAAAGAATTAAATTAATTCTAAAGAAATAAATTGAGACATGGATAACCGAAAGTATGTTTTTTAAAGCTTTAGTTTACTAAAGCTTCTCTCGCCAGCGTGCACAGTAATAGGCATTTAAAACATTATTCTTAATGCAGCTTACAGATTTGGCTTGGTGTCTCGTAACTTATTAGTGTTTATGAACCCAGCATCTTCTATTGGAAGCTTTATATCTTCAAGAAACAGTTGTTTGGCTATATCTAGCTCAATGAAAAGATCAGATCCATTAATATCACTCTCTTGGTACCTTAACTTTGAATTTTTTCCGGATTTATACACATTAAGGAAAGAGGATTTGTAGACACTGATTGCAAAAATAATTCTGATTGTAACCGTGCGGAAATTGCTAAGCTTTTTAGTTGGTACAATGTTTGAATGATCTACAAAAGTTTGGTTTGGTTTATTTGACTATGGCAAAGGACTCGAGAGCTATCTGCCTAAGGAAATTTATGCCTTAGTGGAGGACTCGTATACACGTGACATATAGAGAAAAGCTCGAAAACACCCATGCAGCCAGCCATTTCGCAGGATTCGGACTTCGGTGTGAACTACCAGTGTTATAGCGACTTTTCCGCTTGGCGCTGATGAGCCGAGTTACGAAAGAGAAAAATGTGTAGTTCTAAGAATATGAGTACTGTTGTACCCAGTTTCTGAACGTTTTCAATGCTTTTACTTCAGAGCCATACCATTTAGTGTGGTGGTTTTTTTTTTTTTTTTTTTTTTTAACTTAGGGTATCAGGACTTAATGCCTGTTGAATTTTGCAAATCAAATTTGGCTTTAATAAAATTGGCTTTAACGAAAGGTGGCACGTTTTTTTGCTGATTTTCTGGCTGCATAGATACTTTTGTGGTTTCATCCATGTGTAACAGGAATACGAATTAGTAGACTTTGCCATATCTAAATAATGTAGCACAACTTTTTGCTCATTTCATATTGTAATTTTTCTGTCATTAGGCCTTACCTTTTCATGCCTCCAAATTTGCGTTTGTTGTATTTGCAAAATAGGCAGGGTTTTATTTTCTTTATTAAATATTTTCAAAGTTTTAGTAATGTTTTCTGAATTTGAATATCTGTTGTGTCTGGCTAAGTCATCATGTTTTGTTAGTCTGACTTTAATTCCCAAGTATGGAACAAATATTTGAAATTAGGATCAGTGCATATTTTATAAGCAATCTGCTTGAAACATCCGCAGATACAGCAATAATACTGACCCTATTTAATTTTGTTGCTATATCTGCAGTTGCGACTCATATACATAAAAAAACACGATTACTTTACAATTAATTAAATATGTAGACATATTATTGTTAATTTAACATAAGTATGATACGGACAAAAGGTCAGGGAAGTTACAATAATATACCATCTCTACTACGTACAGGCATGCAATATCTTTACGAATTTAAAGAACATGTTACTAAAATATTTGTTATTTTTTTATTTTTATATTTATTCTGACATACTTCTTAATTTATGTTATGTGTCTAATAACTAACTGCTATTTCTTATAGTACGATGGGCCTTTGGATACAGCTGTGGACGTGGGCTGTGGCTCAGGGCAAAGCACCACCATCTTGGCTTCCTTTTTCAAGCATGTTTATGGAATGGATTCAAGCGAAGCTCAGATAAAAGAAGCTGAAGCCACTCGAGCTCTTGCCAATGTGACTTACAAGTGAGTGTGTAAAGATCTTATGTTATAGTAATCAAATATTTTTTATTTTGAGAAACTTTCATTTCCCTTCTAATTTTAGTTTCCTGCCAGAATGCAAATTTAAATGAGTTCCGAAATAGTATTTAAGTAGCAGAATTTAAGAGTTCGGGGTAGAAGAGTCAGTTACGAATTTATGCCGCATGGTTTGGAAATAGCTATGTAGCTGAATATTTGGTGCTACCACTTACTTTAATTTACAATGTGGGACACACAAAAAAAAAAAAAAAAAAAAAAAAAAAAACGAGATTGGTTCAATAACTCATTGTACTTACAGAATCAGTTCTCCGTGACATTATCACCTTCAAAGTAGTTCCCTTCAGCATTCCCACACTTCTGTATTCGGTGCTGCCATTGCTGGTAACAGTTCTGGAACGAGGTTTTAGGAAGGACCTTCAGGAGATTCTTTGTTTTTGCCTGAACCTCTTCAGCTGTTGTAAAATGAGTTCCCTTTAAGTAAGATTTAATTTTCGGAAATAATAAAAAAGTGTCGCATGAAGCCAAATCAGATGAATAAGGAGGATCACAATAATGTTTTTTTTTTTTTTTTGTCAGAAACTGCTTAACAGAGAGGGCCGTGTGAGCCTGTAGCCATAGTCCTGGTGTAACAGCCATCCATCACTCCACAACTGTGGCCTTTTCTCCTAATTGTTTCACGAAGTCTTTTTGATACTTCAGTGTAGTAGTATTGATTAACAATCTCACTGGGAACCCATTCAATCATGATGAACATACTGGGCGCCCCACGTTTATCATCTTCTACATCGTCCCTTCCCCCTCCGAAAAACCGCTTATGCCATTCAAACACACTTGTATGAGACAAAGTTTCATCTCCATAAGCCTCAGTTAACATTTGAAATGTTTCCTCCGTGGCCGGTCGCTGAACGCTGGTATTTCGGTCCGAGGTTCAAATCCCGCGAACAGACTGGCTGCATGGGCGTTTTTGTGGTTTTCCCCATGTGTAACGTGTATACGAGCCAGTTTCCCTTAGAAAGTCCTCCACGAAGGCATCCCTCCTTAGGCAGATACCCCTAGTGTGCTTTGCCATAATTAAGTAAACGAAAACCTCCGTGGCTGCTTTCTTAAATTTCACAAGAAACTTGATTCGCTGTTCGGTTTTTGTATTAGACATTTTTCCAACAGAATGCAGTTGCACGTGTTCATTCAATGACGCAATACTTCTCACTGGCGTGAACGGTTAAGTCGAAACTCCCCGCATGGATAGAGGAGGTGTGTAGCATGATGTCACCAAAACAGCTGTTGCCAACTTCACCCTGTTTTCAAGCTACACAGTCTTTTTTTTTTTTTTTTTTTTTTTTTGGTGTGTGTGTGTGTGTCACACCTCGTATATTGATGTTTGGTTTGAATAGGTTAGGTTATTTAATTACGGCAAAGCCTCGAGGGCTATCTGCCTAAGGGAAGGGATGCCTTCGTGGAGGACTTTCTAAGAGAAACTGACTCGTGTACACGTTACATATGGGGAAAACCATGAAAACACCCATGCAGCCAGCCCGTTCGCGGGATTCGAACCTCGGACCGAACTATGAGTGTTCAGCGACTTTACCGCTCGGCCGCTGGTGGGCCTAGTTTGAAGAGGAGCCAGTGGTGTAGCTAAGATTTAATTCATTGTGATTGTACATACTATTTTTGTGTTTAATTAGCCACAAGTGGTGCTTAATTTTTGAGCACCGAGTAAGTGCATTTTCTGTTCAGTGTAGTAAAATAAAAAGGTTGTTATAACCTTCGTCGGCAGTCATTTGTTTTTCTCAAGACATAGCGAGAATTCGCTATTTTCGTCTTCAGTAGGGTCTAGATTTTATGCTTCCCAAAAGACATATCATCTACACATGTAGCTTTTTTTTTTCTGGATTGACTTTTTGGTTTCTTTTTCTGTCTTCGGGTCTGACGCAATAGATAAAGAATTTTTTTTCACGTATCGAAAGGACGGATAATTGGTCAACTGTGTTTATAGTCACTCCTGTCAAAGATGACATAGCTATAGGAGTATGAAAATGCTTTTCTCCCTATAAAACAGGAGACGAGAATTCAATAAAACTTTCCATCATGAGACAGAAACAAAATCCTGGCCTATTGTTCAAATTAATACACTGGCCGTTCTCAACCTTTGTCTTTCACTGATAATTTAGCATCCATTAATTGAGTTTAATTACATCTTGATCAAAATGCTGCATTATCAGAACGGTTTTTTTATAGCTGCGTTTCCATGCCGTGTCTCTGAATTAGCTCTGAGAAAGTGATTTTTTTTAAATTTTTTAGATTGCGTAAAAAATGGACAAGATGTGCTTGCGGTACAGAGTTGTTGGTAGCGGGGCTTAATTTCTAAAATTAGGGCCAGAGTACTGTGGAACGCCGTCAGAATAGGGGGAACAACAATAAATGAATACAATAATAATTAAATAAACAAAATGCATAAAGATAAATAAAAATCACCAAATTAAGTTAATTGAAATTACAGTAAACCCTTGCCGAACACGGGGGTTGCGTTATTAGCATATTGGGCGTACGACAAAATCGCATTCCGCAAAGTTAACTTTCTATGGAAAAAACATGTCAGATTAAGATGAAAGTATGTATATAATTTATAAAAATAAAATATATTGTAATTAAAAGAAAAAAATGAAACATGTTAATTGAAAGTTTTTTTATTATTATTACTTAACAAGTAGGTACATGATGCAATTAATTTTTTTTAATAGCTAGTGATTTTTGTTTGTTAGATTTCACAGTTATTGATGCAAGTTATTAAATGCTCCGCAATAAGTAGTGCAAATTTTTGTAATATTTGTCATGATATAGCTCCTCTTTCTTCCATTTGAGTTAATCTCCACTACAAAATCTGGCAGTTCATGTACCTTTTTAACAATTTGTTTAACTTCTTGTAAGAGTAAGTTCTTTATCTTCTTTAGTATCGCTGCTGTCACATCACGATAGTTATTCTGGACTAATTCTTTGATTTCTCCTTCTGCCATATCTGAAAATCCTTCGCCGCCTATTACTTTTGCAGTTGAGATGATTTCCTTGTCTTCATTTTCAATCGATAAAAATCTTCTTGCAAGCATTCATTGTTGATGAATTAACTTGTTCCCATGGGAGTTTAATCATATCTGTACAGTGTGTTACGTAGAATTGTTTCCAAAATGCCGTTACTGTGTCGTGCTTTCCTTCGTTTAGTCTTTATTTGCAAAGATGTAAACTTTCCTGACATAACAGACTTTGAATGCTTTTATGGTTCCTTGATCTGATGGTTGGATTAAGGAAGTGGAGTTTGATGAAAGGAATACAACTTCTACATTTGGGTGCAATATTGTGCCATGTCCTGAAGCATAAACGAGAATTAGGAAAACTTTGAAGCTCAGGTTTTTCTAATCTAAGCTATGGCTTCTTTAATGAATGAATTTCCAAACATGTTAAGAAGGACCACCGCAAGGCAGCCGACATTCTGCCGAGTGCCGCGTATAGTTGAAATTCTCGAGTTGGAGAAATTAAATGGAGATAAAAAGATACCTCGTATATGCAAGACGTACGTTTCGCAAGTTCAGGTTCGGCAAGGGTTTACTGTAATTAAATAATAAGTTAAAATACTGGAACCCGACTAGAATTATAATTTCGCTTAAAAAGTAAGACTTACCGAAATGGGCTGTGATAGGCTTATGCTGAAATCGAAGACATTTAATAGCAACAATTTCAAGAGCACATGCTAAAGACGTCCATGAGAAGGAAGATGAGCTTCTTTGCGATTATTTTACAAAAAACTAATGGTCTTTAAGGGCTTAAAATGCGTTTTAAAATCTGTACAGAAAGAGAAATTTTTACCATTATTGTTTTGTTTCTGCTAATGAACTTTCACTTCTTTGAACTGATTGATTTGGTAAGTTAGGTTTATACTTATTTAAACACTTTGTATTGCTACGTAATAGGTTAGTATGGCAATCACTAGTTATCTTCTTCCTAAAACTCTCGTGTTATTACTGGCGAAACACAATTGTTTTATTTAAGGCTCCTGAGTCACTACTGGCGAGACACAGTGCGTAGTTAATAAAGAAACAATGTAATAAATTTGTTAAAAGGAAAATTTAGAACTTAAATGATGTTTTTTTTTTTTTTTTTTTGCATAATACGAAAGGTTAGTGACATTTGATATTGACGCAGTAGCTAACTGCGAGGGATTTGAACTTTGTGACTTCAATGTAAAACACTGCTTTGATAACGAAGTCAAAATCAAGTCGAGAGCACCACCTTAGGAAGCATAATTAAAATTAAAATTAAATATTTGTTACATTTATTAATAAGAAGCTATAATATGAATATATGTATGTATGTTCCTCGCGTTGCTGAAAACAGCGGCACCTAGAAACATGCAATTTTGAACATATGTAGTCTTCCCATCCGGAACATGACCGATTTCCGAACTTCGAATTTGTCCGATTTTATATTCATTTTCTCCAGACTGTTACCGTTTGGCAAAATGTAAAATATTTATTTTTCAATTTTAATCAACAAACTCGGCTACTTAAAAGTAATGCATTGCCTCTGTCTAAAACAAAATACTTTAATCATTCGCGCGTCAGTTAGTTAAGATTCAGTAAAGCATAAAATAATTTCCTTTTCTTTCAAATCTAATCGTCTGTTATTGATAAACAAAGCACTCTTTCGCTTCATAATAAAATAGTTACAGAAAACAATAATCCGTCCAACCTTACTTTAGGCTTCTCCCATACGCGGACATGCTGCAGAAGCAAATCTGTATAAAATTCAAATCCTGTAAAATAAAACCCTGAAAAAGCCAATGCTCGTTGGTTTATAAGGAATAATAACATGCCTATATTTAAAAATCGAAAATTAAACCAAAAATGCATTTCCAAAAAACTGCTCAATTTTGACTGCAAAATCAAACATAATCTCCAATTTCAGTTCAAAGTCACGGACTTGGAAGGCTTTCGACCTCAAGAAAAGCACATGTATACGGCTAATACTCTTTTTTTTTTTTTTTTTTTTTTTTTTAACAATTAGCTATTTGCAGCGGAGTAGATGTTGGCAAAATTAAATGCTTTTATATGTATCGATTACCAAATTAATCAGTTTAAAAGCAATAAACGCAGTTCCTAAGAATATGTTTTCTACTTTGAATCTGATTGGTTTAAATAAAAATCAAATGAAATCAATATGATTAGAAATATTAAATATTTTAATGAAATGTCACTAGACAGACTTATTAAAATAATTATACACTTTTTTCTTTTTATCATTACTATTTTAGGCGGCTATGCGCGCAACCGGCTAGTGATAAAAATTAGTTTTGTGACAAGCAAAATCTAAATTCACAAATGACACCAGTTTTATCACCAGTTTTTTTCCCTTTCTCTGTCACTTTACAGAGTCTCAACCTCTTTTGTAACATAAACTATGAGAACTGCTTAAGAAGTAAGCGACTTATCGCTATGCCTTGGAAATTACAACAGAAACTGTGAAGGAAAGAAAAGCCCCTTTTATTTAACTCAGATAAAGGTTAACAGAAGGCTTGTGCTTATAGAAACAGCCAGCATTTATGGCGTAAATCAAACATATAATGAATTCAGGTTTAACTCTGTAAAATGTAAGTTATTCCAAGGGCTACACAGACAGAAAACGCGTAAGTTGGCTCCGACCTAATGTCGGCGTGACAAGCCTAATGACGACAATAACGCAACCACGCAGATAAACTACTCTCAAAAGAATAAATAGCAAACGTGGCCTTCAGCAGGCGAAAACGCTCTGACTCTACCATCTAGGAACCTTCCCTTTAATACTCTTTCTTTCTCCCTTATTTGAAAATGGGCGAACTGTAAAATTAGCTTTCTGCAAGGAAATGGAAAGCGAGAAAAACGGAAAAGCTAATTAACATAGAATAACTGGTTAATAAAAGTAAATGAACACTCTGCAGCTTCTAGTTGCGCCTTTCGGCTTCTGAAACACGCGTTTCCGGACTGGAAGGCTCTGCTTCATCGACAAGTACCTGCACAACAATTCATTCACACGCTTTTCCATCAAGAGCCTTAAAAAAAATTTTGGCACTCAATACATGAATGTGATTTTTGAGGCTACTGTTACATTATGGTAAAAATGTGACAAGCACTAACAGACACAAACTCCAAGAATCGTAATGATTTCTTAATTCTAGCAGCAAAAATTCTGAGGGTCGAGAATCTAAGCTATAAACGAATGAAGTAACCTTTATCATAAAATGAGTAAGTGACCTTTATCATGGCACGAATTACGAACGGGCTGGCTGCATGGGCGTTTTCGTGGTTTTCCCCATGTGTAACGTGTATGCGAGCCAGTTTCCCTTAGAAAGTCCTCCACGAAAGGCATCCCTCTCCTCAGGCAGATAGCCCTAGCGTGCTTTGCCATAATTAAATACACACACACATAGCACGAATTTCTGTGATTAATTTGAGTTTCCTTAGGAAGTCCTTTCCGAAATCACTTCCTTCTCAGGTAGCCCTCGCGTGCTTTGCCATAATAAAAATAAACCAACCAAGTAAAATCTCAGTTAAGAGAGAATATGTTAATTGAGAACTTCAGTGGAAATTTAAGGTGGTGCAAGTTAATACAGTTCATTGTTACCGCGTCTGAAATTAACACAATCTATTGTTGCTTCAACAAACCGTTTACTAGTTTCGTTTCCACGCATAAAAAGAAAATGAAACTGAAACGTTTACAACTTTGAAGTGTCTTCATCGAAAGCGGTGCAAATAATTAAGACTAAGGTTTTGACATGAGTAAAATACTCATTCCTAGCCAGAGCTCAAATTGCACCGGAGCTCAAATCTATAATTCTTAATTTTTTACATAAATTCACCGGAGCGCACCGAAAGCATAATTCTTAAGTGCACATAGGATACCACGACCGAGGGAGTGGCTCTGAGTACATACTACGGCGCTTTTGAGAATGAATCTTTGGTAGTTGTTATTTATGTTTTAGTTTTACATTTATTTCGCAGTATTCGGTATGTATTTGTATTTTTGGCAAATTCTTCCAATCATATAGTGAAATTTTCATAGTTTCTTATATTTGATCTAATTTCATCCTGAAAATTTTCAAAAGGAATCCGACATTAACCATTCTGAAATACAACTGGAAGTCCATTGGCCCATTGCAGAAGCTCCTCCCACGTTTGCGATACCGAAGTACACTTAAGAATTAAGCCCACTGGAACCTGAAATAAGAGAGCTCAAACACTTCATTTATGTAACTGAACCACAATTTGAGCGTAAAATTCTTTTGATCTCTAAAATTTTGTTTTAATAATAAGTAAGGCTAAAAAAATCATTTCTAATTCTGAATGCTTGCCTTTCTTTCCCCGGGAAGCAAATCCTTGGATGGAGGTGAAGATTTTATAAGAAAGTTTAGCCCAACCTACATATTAAAATCTGATTGTACGGGAAATGCAATGAGTTGTTTTTGACAGAGGGTAAATTTTTCTTTCCCTAAAGTACTAGAAGTGATTATCTTTATCTTGCGCATTAGAAGCTAGTGGCTTCCCACGGAAAAGAGCACATGTAGGTTTTTAAAACTATGTAAATTTCGACGAATACAGCAGTTGAAAATTGTCACTTGTACCAAACCTTACAAACCGATTCCTCGAATTCGAGAAATCCCTCCCCCATCACATTTTGCGTAACGGCTAGAATTGCATCGTTAGAAGATAATGATGAGGGAAGTGTTGAATTCTTTTCTTTTTGTTTTCACACCTACACATCCTTCGTTAAAATTTTCTCTGTACTCTTATACTGTTCTTTTTTTTTTTTTTTTTTTTTTTTTTTTCATTCTGTCTATTCTCAATTAGTTGAACCGTTTTGCCTGTTTTCATCGGCATACTGGAGAAAGAATAGCCTTTGCTTTTATAATCCCGTAAAATAGTGCATTTATACCGCATATTCAGGACTTAACTCAGATGAAGCCCGCCTAAGCTTATTTTTCAGTTTTTAAGTGAAACTGTATTTCCAGCCGGATAAGGTTATGTCCGATATTTTATTATTTCACTGTTCATCATTAATTAAGTAATGTAATAAATATTTATTTTTAGTAGATTTTATTAAGAATTAATTAATTAATTTAATTATTAATTACTACATCGTTTTAATTGTTAATTTTTCCTATTTTATTAATTATTTTATTTATTTTGACTCCTCTTTCCCGACTGCCTTTCAAAGTGCTCTCGCATTTTTAGGAATAACTGTAGAAATTAAACCTTGCTCCTGCCAATTAAGCCAGTTATCCGTTGTTTGTAATTTTACATACTAGGCGAGGGCAGGGTCGCCGCTATCGAGAAATATCAGCAATTTTAAAATACTGACCGGAAGCTTGCCGACTCATATTCAAACGGCCATCTTAACAAATCATGCAGGATTTTGAGATACTCGTGCCGATGTTAAACAATGTAAACTTCCATCCTACTTACCGTGCTAGATGACAGGGTTATTGGGATTAGGATAGAGCACTCAAGGCCGTCTTCCTAAGACAAGGAAAAGCTTCTTGGAAGACCTCTTATTAATATTACAGGCGAATATTCTCGTGCAGCCAGTCTGTTCTCTAGGATTTGAGCCCGGGTCGAACTACCAGTATTAAGAGGTTTTTTCGACTGGCCGCTGGGGTCTGCAAGTAAAAGTTTTCGCTCTGTCTCCAAAGTAGTTTCAAGTGTTTCACAAAAGAGGCCACCGCTATGCAACTTGCGATTTACTTTGTTCCTGTAATTACTGAAACAAATAAAAATTCTATTTGCATAGCGGAACCTATGACAATGGTGTCGAGATCTTAATGAAGACTGATTGTAGTTTTCAGAAGTTGTCTCCATTTTTATAATGGAGCAGTTTTTCTCAATAATGGACGTATAGTTGCTAAGTTAACTAAATTTTTATTTTCGTATCGTTCCAGAGCGAGCCCTGCCGAAGTTTTGTCCTTCCCAGATGGTTCTGTTCAAATGATCACTGCAGGGGCCAGTCTTCACTGGTTTGACATGGATGCATTTTTTCCCGAAGCGCGAAGAGTTCTGTGCAATAATGGAATTTTGGCCGTGTACTGCTATTACAGTATAAAACCTCATTTAAAAGATCCTAAGCTGATCGCTGCTGTGGATGAGCTTTTTGAAGAGGTAAACATTTCCTAGTATTTACTTGTTAACGCAACCACTTTGCCTCCAATGTAGATTTTTTACAGATGAAAACGTATATGCTACTCATTGGTTGCAGGTTGATGGTTTTCATCTTTTCATCAGAAAGAGGCCCAAACTATCGATATTTATCCTTAAGTCGGTAAACATTATCAGCATATGAAAATAAAACATACTTAAGCAATATAAATTACAAATTTTACTTATTAAATAAGGATTATTTGCTACATTAAAAAACTAAAACACTTAACTTTCTTCAGATCTTTCTATAATTTTTACATTATTCTTTTCTCGAAGTAAACATCTTTTTTCGCTTAAAAAAATCTGCTTCTATAAAACGATCTGTTTTCGCTTTAAAAAAACATCAGAGATTTGCGGAGACTCGACTTAAAGCTATCCTCGGCAACAGCGGCTATCTAGGAAGCTCATTTCTTCGTTGTTCCTTTTAGAAAACTTTCAAAATTCTGTATTCCTGCAAAAATTTTCCTGCATTATTACATTGTGGTCAAATTCCACAAGAAAACTGAGTTTAAAGCACAAAATCTTGCGATTTGTTTATAAAAACGTTTGAACTTGGAGTACAACGATCAGGTAAGTAAACAGGTAAAAGTGCATAGGGGCACCAGACACTTCACTACAGAATCAAACAGGTATTACCCCAATACACTAACCAGCTAGAATATGAAAAACTTGAACTGGCTATATGCTATTTCTAAGTAATACTGGAGTTATACATCGGAGTTGTTAGCATACAGAAATGGCAGCGTTGCTTGTCTGAAACGATTGTTATAAGCATGGTTTGCCGGAAGAATGGCTAGCGCATGGTTGCCAAAATTGGCACATTCTGAAAATTTGGCGACTTCTACAAAGGTGGTTGTGTTAACCCTCTGCGGCACAGTGTGTCCGGTCTGGACACACCTAAAAATTCCCTTCTGTACGCACAGAAAAATTGAATGAAAAAGGATTTATGAGTTACTATAGGTACTCTGAACCTTCTTTATTTATAGTAGATGGCAGCTCAACACAAGCAAGTCCATATATTTTAGCCATATTTAGTTTTTTAAGACCCCCAGTTTTCAAAAAAATCTTCCAGATTTTTTTTATTGTATAAAAGGAATTGTTTGAAAAGAAATTTCTATGTTATTTTTTTGGCTGTATGCTAATCTCCTTATTCTATTTTAGTTTTAAATTTTTACTAGGACAACAATGCTCGTTTCAGCACTCTTTTAGAAGCTCTATTCAATCAATGTGCCCACTTTGGGCACACCCACAGAATTAAAAGATAAGTGCTATCTTCACAAAATTTTACTTGTGTATTCCTCTAGGCCTAATTAGACTGCCTACTTTTTTTTTTTTTTTTTTTTTTTTTTAATCAAAACTCCAACTTTAAAAGGTAGCGTGCCGAAAAGGGTTAATACGTAAGTACCAATTTCCTTGCTTTCTGTCTGATGACAAACCTTTATAGCTACATATTTTAAAACACACTGATGCGTTGCTTAACGGACGCCATCCTGAGCGAATAGTTTATTACGTAGGACATTGTTTCCCGTAATTTAATTTGAATTTGGATATGGCAAAGTTCGCGAGGGCTCTCTGCCTATTAGGTAAGATGTCCTCGTAGAGAACTTTCTATAGGAAATTGGCTCGTATTCACTCTACACATGATGAAAACCACGAAATCCAACCATGCTCTCAATTCATTTGCCTGAGCTGAAACCCAGGTCAAGCTACCAGTATTCAGTGGTCTTAACTACTCAGATATTGGTGGGCTCCGTAAATTAATATAAGGATAGTTTTAACCCATTTCCGAATTCTTTCAAAAAGCGAAGTATTATAAAAAAAGAATATTAGCTTCCTCTACCTCGCCATGTTGGGAACGCCGTTGGGTTTATATATTGATTATAAAAAAATTGTACATACAGCATATTTATATGCAGTTTTGTATTTTTTTCTGTTAAATTTAGTAAGATATATAATCCAAAATCCATTAAAAGTGGAAAATTTAAGTGTCTTTGCCCGAGGATCAGATTGCAGTTACGGAAAATGATATTTCGGTATTTTTATTTTTTAGACATTAATTTTTTTTTAATCTGAAGCTTTCGGGTAACTTTTTATGGACGCAAGGCACTATAATATATCGGCAATGACAGTCACAGGTAATAACGTCAAATTAAGTATTTAATAACATTTATTTTAAGAAACCCATAGCAATTCACAAAAATAATTGCTGATCAAGTCATGCATATGTAAAAATGATTGACTGTTTAAGGGAACATTCCTTGAAACACTTGAGGTGTGATTTTTTAAATCTTCTCCTTTAATTTTACAAAAATCAAATAAATCTTTATATCCTACCATAAATATCTGAGAATCTAAAATGAAGTTAATTTTTTTTCCTCTGATTTTACAAAAATCAAATAAATCTTTCAATAATCCTAGCAAAAATGTATGAGAATCTAAAATGAAGTTATAAGGTATTTCCCCCCCTTTCTTAGCGTGCCTTCATGGTGTAGTGGTTCTACACGCTGGGCCGGTATTCCAGAGGTCTGTGGTTCGATTCCCAGCGAAGGCGATTGCATATTTTTCATATTTACTGTTCTGTTACTATTATTATTTTTTTTAATTTGTCAGAATAAGTTTTGAGCAATTGAAAAGGAAACACGTATTTTGTTTCAATAAGAAAGAATAAGTGCTAGACTGTACAATATGTAGAAGCAACAAGTGGCTGGCTGATTGAGTAAGACTGCTGAATATTTACAGTTAAGCCCGAGTTCGAATTCTGGTGAATAGGTTGGCTGCATGGCTTTGTTTTGGTTTTTTTCTGTGTGTAATATAAGCCAGTTTCCGTTACAAAGACATCTGGGAAGGCATCTCTTAATGAAAGCACAATCTTTATCCCAATATTTTTTCCGACAAGGCGGAATAAGACCTTAAAATATTTTAAACGCTTATACATTTTTAAAAGTTTTTATTTAATATGTAATAAACGAAAATCATAAAAAGAAAATATCTAGAAAGATGGCTTGGTTTACTTGATTATGGCGAAGGATTCGAGGCCATTATGTCTAACGAGAGAGATATCTTCGCGGAGAATTTTTTAAGGAAAAATGGTTCGTATCCACGTTACATATCAGGAAAACCACGAAAACGCCCATGCAGCCAACCCGTTCGCCTGGAATTGTACCGGTGTCGAACTATCAGTGTTTAGCGACTTTGCCGCTGGTGGACTAGTATATGAAGATTGTCTGGAAAATAATGGTTTTAAACCTATATCTTTAAAGTATCACAACTCAACTCAAAAACAATTTTATTAATCAAAATAAGCACCAGCCGAATCAATGCATTTTTTGCCAACAAGATATAAGTTTATCATCGTCATAGAGAAGAACTGGCAGCTTTCTGTTGGCCAATGCCGAGCAAATGCGTTGCAATTTTTGGTGCATTTCGTTGATTTGCTGACAGTATTTATCTGCTGTAATCGTTTCGCCCAGATTTAAGAAGCTGTGGTGGATGAGACCGGCCGCAGACCACCAAACAGTCACCATAATTTTCTTTTGGTGAAAATTTGGCTTTGGAATGTGTTGTGGTGTCTGACCGCGGTCCAACCACTGAGCCGAATGTCGCCAGTTGTTACAGAGAATCCACTTTTCATCTCACGCAATAATTCGATCAAGAAAAGGATCATTTTTGTTGCGAAGATCAAAACGATGATTTTTTTAAAATTTTCGCTCAATTCGTGAGGCACCCACTTATCGAGCTTTTTTGACTTTCCCATGTGATTCAAGTGATCAGAAATCATTGTTTTGCTTACGCCCAGCTCCTTCGCAAGTTCTCAAACAGTTGTGCACGGGTTTGTTTCAACTTAAGTTTTAAATCATCGTCATCGACAGCTGAAGAGCGTCCATGACGTTCTTGATCTTCCAGGTCAAATTCTCCACGACGAAACTTTCGGCACCACCTTTGAACTGTAGATTCATTAGCACTTTTTTCGTCCCATACTTCGTTGACATTTCGAGCCGTTTGTGCTGCGCCGTGGCCTAGCTTGTACTGATAAAAGTAAATTTGCAGAACATCGTTTTGACATCTAAACAAAAACACCTGGTATATACTTTTTTAAATAATTTTGGAACGAAATGATTATTATAGAAATATAGAGTGAAATTAGAGCTTCAATGTGATATATAAACCAATGTAATTCAAAATATTTTTGTTGCTGAAAATGTACAGGAAAGAGAAAAAATTGCAAAAACCTGCATTATTTTTCGGAAAACCCGATAGAAAGATGAAATTTGTTTTATGTTTAAATATCTTTAAAAATAAAGCAGTAACTTGCTTCACGAAATACTTTACGTATATCGCACACTGCACTGGAAAGAATTGGCGGGAAAGGGCATATCTGGGTGGTTTTGAAAATCAGGCCCTGTAGATAATATAGACACCATGTCAACCTGCCTGGCTTTTATTGTAGCAACAGTTGACATGTACCGTATTTCCTCGTGTATTTAGCCCTAGCTTTTTAGCTCTAGTCCCCCCCCCTTTTTTATTTTTTCCGATTTTGCTAAGTTTTCTTTATTTCTATTATATTCTATAGTTTTCACTCTGAAAGCTAGTTTATTGATGCATTGTCTTTTCTTAATTATTTTAATGTTATTCCGCATATTCAATTGGAATTCGTATTTTTGTATTGACATTTCATCCATTTTCTTTTCCCTTAAATTATTATCTGAAATGCATTTTATGCAGATTCTTTGTTAAGCTGCGCAGACGTGACAGGTGTAATACTTTTGTAATTCTAAAATACTTTTGTAAATTGAAGTACGGTGGTACCTCGGTATTCGTCATTAATCCATTCCAGATCCTTAGACGTACTATAACCTTGTAGAGACATTAGGTTAATTGGAAAAGCCGGTGGGATGAAAAATTAGCAAACGTCTTCGCCGGGAATCGAACCACGGACCTCTGGAATACCGGCCCAGCGTGCA